CCGCTGCTGTCGGCGGCGGCCGCTGCTGTCGGCGGCGGCCGCTGCTGCTGTCGGCGGCGGCCGCTGCTGCTGTCGGCGGCGGCCGCTGCTGTCGGCGGCAGCTGCTGCTGTCGGCTGCTGCTGTCGGCGGCAGCGGCTGCTGCTGGCAGTTGCTGCTGCTGTTCGCGGAGGAGCCGAGAAGGGGCCGGTAATGGCGGCGAAGGGGCCACGAAGGGCCGTGAAGGGGCCGCGAAGGGCGGCGACGGGGCCGCGACGGGACCGTGAGGGGCCGCGAAGGGCGGCGACGGGGCCGAGACGGGGTCGTGAGGGGCCGCGAAGGGCGGCGATGGGGCCGAGAAGGGGCCGTGAGGGGCCGGAAAGGGCGGCGACGGGGCCGAGAAGGGGCCGCGAGGGGCCTCGAAGGGCGGCGACGGGGCCGAGAAGGGCGGCGACGGGGCTGCGAAGGGCGGCGACGGGGCCGCGAAGGGGCCGCGAGGGGCCAGAAGGGGCCGCGAAGGGGCCGTGAGAGGGGCCGTGAGGGGCCGTGAGAGGGGCCGCTACGGGGCCGTAAGAGAGCGCGACGGGCCGCTAAGGGCAGGGGACGCGACGGGAGGGCAGACACACGTGGCGCGACTCGGGCAGGGGCGAAGCGCGCTCCGGGCAGGAAAAAAAAACGATTTTCGGTGGGCCCTAGGAAACGTTCCCACTAGGGAACCTGCTCTATACCATGTGAAAGAACGAGGAATGAATGCACTAGGAAACAGGTGAGTACAAGTAGGAAAACCTAAAAGTGTTGTACCCCATATTGTCTACCCCACTACAGCCTACACAGACTATAGCATATAAGTTTGACAACGCATACTCAAGTGCACACAACAAACTCCCCCTCAGACTAACGGACTGCATGCACACACACTCATACGCATGCAAACTCATCACACAGACAAACACACATGCCCCCATGACATTGCTGGACACACTAGTGCAACGCCATGCCACACATCTTAGCACACTTGGTAAGAAAATCAGTTGCCTGCTTGCAGGCCTTCACCCAATGAAGCTCAACAGCCCCCTCCTTCACCATCTGCCTCACCCAGTGCCACTTAACTTTCATGTGCTTGTTCAGCCCATTCAGGATAGGATTAGTGGCCATAGCAATAGCACTCTCGCTGTCAGAGAAAAGTGGTGTAGTTCCCTCTTGTTCAGCTCCCATGTCCTCCAGCAGCTTCCTCAGGAGCACAATCTCCTTAATGGCAAGATACATTGCCATGTACTCTGCCTCTGCCGAAGACTGAGCAATCTCACTCTGCTTCTTGGACCTCCAACTCACTGGTCCTCCTCCGACCATGCAAACATAGCCACCCACAGATGACTGATCCTCATCTTCCGAGGTTCATGTAGCATCGGTGAAGCACGATAGCTTCAAGGTTCCAGGCATGATCCCATCTGCTCCAGGTTGCTTCAGCTGCCATCCAGCTGAAAACTGAACACCAGCAGATGCAGTAGATCCGAGGTAGCGCACCATGCGCTTTGCCACCTCCAAATGCTCCTCAGTGAGCTGCTGCACAACTCTGGCCAGCTTCCCCACTCCAAATGAAGCATCGGGTCGCGTATGCTCAGCTGCATACATCACACTCCCAATGTGTGACTGGTACTCATTCTGCAGCTCATCCTCGAGCACATCATCATCCTCAGCTGCCTTGTGTAGCTTGTAGCCTGCAGGAAATGGCGTCATCACAGTGCGACCCTCAATCACACCATAACGATCCATCACGCCAGAGATGTAGTGTGACTGATGCATTTTCAGCCACTTCCTCTCGACATCTCGCTCAAGCTGCAGCCCCAAGTAGTAATGGACATCCCCAAGCATCTTGCACTTGAAACTGTCCATCAGCAGCTTCTGAGCTCTTTCAATCTGCTCCATAGATGGTGAGTACAGCAGTATGTCATCGACATACACCAGCAGCAAGAGCTGCTCCCCCTCTCCGAACACGAACAAGCTGTGGTCAGCTTGGGATGTTTTGAAGCCTCCAACCAGCAGCACTTCCTTGAGCTTTCCGTACCAGCACCTAGGTGCTTGCTTAAGGCCATAGATAGCCTTCTTAAGCTTGCACACCCGGCCAGTACCATCATCATAGCCGTCAGGCTGCTTCATGTAGATAACCTCCAACAGTATTCCATTGAGGAATGCAGTGGTGATATTCATCTGCTTCACATGCCATCCCTTCACAGCTGCGCCAGCCAGCAAAGTCCTCAATGTTACTAGTGCGGGAGGTACTGCTGGTGCTGGAGTACTGGATCTGCTGGTGCGCTTCGCCACCTTCTCGGTCTTCCGCCAGCTCCGACGGAGTTCCCAGTCGCTGGTACTACTCCTCTGTTACTGTTCCCACAGCTACTGCCTCACTCTCCACTGCCTGCTCTTGCTCCTTACACTGCTGTGACAGAGTCCCTGACTGAGCGTCGTGAGCTTGAGACTCGTGCTTCCACTCCTGAGCGTCAAGAGCCTGAGACTAGAGTGTCAGTTCCTGCTCGTGCTCGTCGTGTGCGTCGTCCTCGTGCTCTGGCTGTCCAAGGCACTCACGATATGACACTCCCTCCTTCCTATGTTCCACAGCGTGTTGTCCTACCGTCACCTCCTGCGTCTTCTCTTCCTACCACTGATGACCCTCTGTCTGACCTTGCTCTTGCGTCCAGTCCGACTGTCACTCGCTTGCTTGCTTCAGTTGTGACGAACCCTGCGTTCTCGTCTCCTGCTGCGTCTGCCCTAGTCGCTGAGCTAGTTGACTTTGCTGCTGCGCGCCGCCTAGACTAACTTGTGAGTCTCGTTTCTGAACCTGACCCTGCCTGTCCTCCGTCCGTCGGGGGTGAGGTTGCCCTTGGCTGTGGCGTTCTTGAGGACAGACAGGAGGAGCTGGAGTGCCTTGCGGCCGCTGCACCTCATCTCGCGAAAATGATACTCGCCCCTGAGGGAGACCCGGATGCACTTGACATCCCCACCCCTCGCTCTTACAGAGAGACGATTTCGGGTGAGTACTCCTCTGAGTGGCAGACAGCCATGGACGCAGAGATGGCTTCCTGGAAGTCCATAGGCACCTGCGTCGACGAGGTTCCCCCACCTGGGGCGAACATCGTCAGTGGCATGTGGATTTTCAGGGTAAAGCGGCCGCCGGGTTCTCCGCCTGCCTTCAAGACACGTTACGTTGCTCGAGGCTTTAGTCAGCGTGAGGGGGTCGACTTCTTTCAAACCTTCTCCCCCACCCCGAAGATGACCACTCTTCGGGTGTTGCTACACGTTGCAGCTCAGCGTGACTACGAGTTGCACTCCCTCAACTTCTCCACAGCTTTCTTGCAGGGTAGCCTTCACGAGGCCATCTGGCTGGGCCGTCCAGAGGGCGTCACTGGGTCGTCTCCTGAGGGTACCCAGTGGAGCCTACGGCGACCAGAATACGGCCGGCGTCATGCGCCCCGCGAGTGGCACGACACACTGAGGACTACACTTGCGGCTCTTGGGTTTGCTCCTTCCTCTGCTGACCCGCCGCTGTTTCTACGCGCCGACACTACCCTACCGCCGTTCTACGTTCTTGTGTACATCGACGACTTGGTTTTTGCTACTGCTAACACTGAGGCGCTGGCCCTAGTGAAGGCGGAGCTGCAGAAGAGACACACCTGCACTGACCTGGGTGAACTGTGAAGCTATCTTGGCTTGCAGATCACCCGGGATAGAGCACGGCGCACCATCACCCTGACTCAGTCACACATGGTGCATCAGGTCCTCCAGCGCTTCCGCTTCCAGTACTCCTCGCCACAGCCCACTCCTCTTTCTACCGGCCACTCGCTCTCAGCTCCACCTTCGGACGAGTCTGTAGAGCCGAGTGGTCCGTACCTAGAGCTTGTGGGTTGCCTCATGTACCTGATGACGTGCACACGACCTGACCTCGCGTAGCCTCTCAGCCTCCTGGCTCGCTACGTGGCACGTGGTAGACACCGAAAGGTGCACTTTGATGCTGCGAAGAGGGTACTGCGTTACTTGTGCAGTACATCAGGCATGGGGCTCGTGCTTGGAAGACGGGGTCCAGTGGTCCTCACAGGACACTCCGACGCTTCTTGGGCCGATGACTAGGAGACTCAGCGTTCGTCACAGGGTTACACTTTCAGTCTTGGCTCTGGTTCTACCTCTTGGAGGTCCACTCGTTCTTCTTCTGTGCTTAGCTCCAGCTGCAAGGCTGAGATCTACGCTGGGGCCATGGCTGCACTGGAGCTACGCTGGCTAACCTACTTGCTGACCGACTTGGGGGAGCGGCCTCATTCTCCTCCAGTTCCGTACGTCGACAACAAGGCAATGCTTGCCTTGTGTCGCGAGCAAAGACTGGAGCTCAGAACGAAGCACATTGCTCTTCGCTACTTCCTTGCGCGTGAGCTGCAGTAGCATGGTCAGCTGCGCCTTGCTTACGCGGCCACTCGGGCCAACACTGCTGATGTCTTCACCAAGGCCCTTGGGTCTGGTGATCATCAGCGTTTCTGCACTGCTCTTGGGCTTGTGCCCACTCTGCCTCACCTGCTGGTTGCTTGACTTGTGCATGTTGTACACTGCTATATATCTTTATACCTGCATGTTTACTCTTGCTGGGTTGTGTTCAATGTACTGTCTTGCTATTATAGATCTGCATGTGAACAGGCCTTGTGGCCACTTGCTTGTGCTTAGATTTTGTGGTGTCTTTGAGATCCATCCACCCTGGGCTTTGCCTTGCTTGAGAGCTTTTTCCAAACAACCGTTTCTGACAACTTCAAGTTCAAGAATTTTGACATGAAAAATAACATGCTGTACTCAGGCTTTAAGATCCCAAACCCTAGGGACCTATCATACATGGGTAGGAAGGTACCCATCATTGTATGGTTTCTGAAGGCCTGTTCCTACAACCCCTTATCAAGCACACTACACTGAAACACTCAAAGCAAAAAGCATTGTACCAGGCAAGTCTGACAAGTGGATAGTCTGATGGTAACTGGCACAGGAATGCGCTCTAAGTACACAACTTGGAGCACTTCGTGTTAACAATGGATGGACCAACCTCCTCATACTCGCTCTTCGTAATACACATCTGCATCACCAAAAAAGTACGTCAGTGCAAAGAACCAAGGAAGGCATAGAGCAATAGAAAATGCAGAAAAGGCATACCTGCTTGAAGGTGCTCAGAGCCGCATACATGGATCCACCAATCCAGGCACTGTACTTCCGTTCAGGTGGAGCAACCACCTTAATGTAGTTGGCTGGAGCCAGCTGAGTCACTTCCTTGGTCACGCGCTCAGCGATTCCAGGGATCAAAGTGGTACCGCCGCTGAGAACAATGTTGCTGTACAGATCCTGCCTGATACCTTCATCACACTTGATGATGCTGTTGTAGCACATCTCATGGATACCCGAGCCTTCCTTGCCAGCTAGCGACGGGTTGAAGAGCGCTTCTGGGCACCTAAATCGCTCAGAACCGACAGTAATAACCTCGCCATCAGGAAGCTCATAACTCTGCTCCAAAGTAGACGAGGCCTCTACAGTCCCCATCTCCTGCTCGAAATCAATAGCAACGTAAGCGAGCCTCTCCTTGATATTCCTCACAATGTCCTTCCCGGCGGATGTGGAGAAGGAGTATCCCCTATCACTCAACATCTTAAGCAGGTACAGCGTCAAATCATCTCCGGCAAGATCCAAACTGAGAGTCGCGTCCGGCAGAGCGTAACCCTCGTGGATGGGGACAGCGTGGGACACACCATAACCGGAGTCCAGAACAATGCCTGAAACCAAAAGCAGGGATTAGCAGCAAAAACACAATGCAAATGCAACTGCACGAAGAAACGAGTCAACACTTACCAGTGGTATGACCACTGGCGTATAGGGAGAGCACGGCCCGAATGGCGACATACATCGCCGGCACGCTGAAAGTCTCGAACATAATCTGCGTCATCTTCTCGCGATTTGAATTGGGATTCAGAGGAGCTTCAGTCAAAAGCACCGGATGCTCCTCTGGTTGGACATGAAGCTCATTGTAGAAGGTGTGGTTCCAAACCTTTTCCATGTCGTCCCAGCTCGTCACAAAACCTGGAACGTCAAAATACGTGAAGCCTACAGCGAGAAAAATAATGATTGGCAAGTGTGCGCATTAAATCATTCATCGTCATGAAGTTAATCTTACCATGCTCGATAGAATACTTCAGCGTCAACAATCCACGCTGGGCCACGGCTTCATCACCAACGTAAGCATCCTTATCACCCCCCATCAGCGCCACTCCTTCATGGCGAGGAAGACCAACAACGGTGGGAAACACTGCACGCGGCTTATCATCTCCAGCAGCTCCGGCCTGGAATAAGGCTCAACAGTGCATGAGACGGAAATCGCGAGCATGATTAATCGACAATGCCAATGCTACTCGCCTTCACCGTGCCGGATCCGTTGTCGAACACAAGAGCCTGCATGTCGTCCATGTTGAACAATGTTCACTGTGGAAGGACATTACCCCGGGTAAGAAAGAAATAAATAGAATCGCCTAATGCAGTTCAGTGATCACGGCCAGCAGAAGTTGCAACCCCTTGTTGTCCTCACCAGGCTGCAAGGAGGAAGGTTAGGGATGGCTCGCGTTGTGTGCCAAAAACGAACGAGGGCGGAAATAAGAAGAGCTACCGTTTTCCTACACCTCGACGGGATTATCCTTGGCATTACCCAAGACCACGACACCAGCCCAATCGGGCAATGCAAAAAAGGGACGACGGCCCGATTCGACAGTTTGTTCATACGCCACGGTGTAATCGTTGTGCAAATATTGACTAGACAATCCTTGTGTTGTCCAAAAACATTCATCTTGACTGCTGACCGAAATCTAAAACGTCAAGAGCCACTCCTAGCGGAAACAAGGGTGCTGGAAGCTCTGGATGGCATCCATGCCGTCCATCGGCCCCGCGGATATGTTTTGGGATGTCATCCGACGGAGGTCCGACCTAACCTCACGGACGTCGGCGGACGGTGCTAAAGTGGAGGGGAGGGGAGGGGAGGGGAGGGGAGTGGAAGATGTGGGTGGGCGAGTGGACTAGCCCATTTTTTGGTGGCAGGCCCCGGTTGCCTGTAAAAGTCGACCCGACCTGTCTGGTCGGGGTCGACCAGTGGCGGTTGGGAATGGCAGGCAACCTGCAAATGTACAGTCGATGCTCAGCCTATCACAAAACATTTACTCCTCACAATTAGAAATTTAGTCACTCGCGAACGTTTTGCCCGTGAGTGACTAAATTGACCATTGTGCCGATTTCAGGGTACAGTCACCAAGTTGAGGAAGAAAAACATCTACAGTTCATAAACAACAACGGTTGCCCGTCATCAGAGAAGTTAGCCTGGTTACAAAATTAAAGCCCTTGACTCGATTCACGTTGCAATTTCATATTACAGTCACATGCCGCTCGCCTACCTGGTGTTCTTGAAATGGGCACCGACTGTACCAACCGCCTGTTTTGAAGACCCAACCTACTTCAACTATTTTGGGCAGACCCAACAGTCACTAAACCAATAAGTGTGAACCAAACCTAAATTTTTGTTTTTGTTCACCAATCACGTTTAGATTTGATAGTGTCACCTGCCCCCAATTTTCGTTGTACCACTGGTTGCTTTGCAGGTCGGTACGTTCGTGGCTGGGTGCCCCAACCAGCTGGTTGTGGACGGGACCATATGGTCGAATATACCACCGGTCGCCTCAACCAGGTGAAGTGTGAGAGTGCTCTGGTAAAAACGTCAAATACACCCTACGGTACACTGTAGACCCTAGGGCAATCTGCTCACCCTACGGGTCAACCCGAACCCGACGGTTCGAGGCAACCCGACAAGCCCCCAAATAGAGAAAACGGAACACGCTCTAAGCTGGGAGGGTACCGTACGGACCAAACGCTTACCGTACGGACCAGCGGTGCACGGCTTGGCACGCGTCAAAGGGAGTCAAGCAGGCCGACCTGGCAAGTGCTGTAACCCTGCTGATTACTCGCCAATCTGTCCTCGCGAACCTTTGCAAGGTCGTGAATACAGTAACTGAATCAACAGAACTGTTTTCGAAGCCTCACCTTTCACCCGTTCGTCACAACACACTCAAGTAAGTTGGGACTTCCGAAGGATGAGGTTCCGGGTTCAAACCCCAGTGCCAACGAGTTCCGCCAGCCCCCCAGAAGGGGGTTTCACACTACTCATCTAGGAGTTGATGTATCCTTACCTCGATACCCAGCGAGGCGTGTAAACAAGTGGGTAGGCGGATTACGATCAACAGCCGGGGGTAACTCAAAGGTGGCTCTCCCCCCTCCTTTAACTTTCCCACCAAATATGAAACAGTTCTCACGTCGATAGTGTAATCTTTGCGGAGAGTCACTACACAACGGGAGTGGACTACGGTGGAGGGCACGGAGTTGTGCGAGTGATCGTAGCTTTGTACTAACGTTCTTACTGCTTGTTGTGTTCACGGAGAAGTTTTGCAAGAGTTTCCACCAAGGAAGTTGAAAGAACAACTTGCAATGAAAAGTTGATAGTAGAATTGAGGCATGCAGAACAAAAGGACTAGAAGGGCATTCAACTCCTAGCAAGGGCGAATTCTGCCAGCGCAGCAGAAGAGCGGCTTGCCAACGTTGCAGCAGAGTCATCTGCCAACGTTGCACCGTGCACGTTCTGCCAGCGCTGCAGTCGCAGGTGATTATCTGCTGTCGGAGGTAACTATCTGCAGTCGCAGGTTGTCTATCTGCGCAGATGTGCGCACCTACCAAGTAGGTGCAGGTTGGCGGTTTCACCGTCAGGCACATTGCGCAGGTGCCAGGTAGAAAACGTGTCGTCGGTTTTGCCAGGTGCGCACCGTCGACCACGTGATGCCGTTCCGCAGGTAGAACTTTGCCAAAATCTCCTGGGCGAAAGTTCGCACGCCTCCGCAGAGTTTCGCAGAACTCTGCAACTTCGATCGATGAGTTCGGCATCGATCGGCCGAACAACGTTCGCCGAGCAGAGCTCCTCGACCCGAACGCTTCGACCAGAGTTCCTCGACCAGGGTCGTCGACCAGCGCTCTTCGACGAGAGCTCATCGCGCAGAGATCGTTGACCAGAGCTGAGAAGATTTGAACAAGGATGAATGAACTATGAAATGAAGTGAGTACAAATATGAAACCCTAATTGGTTGTACCCCCTATGGGATACCCCACTATAGCCTACACAACAGCATAAGCTATAATGTTCTGACACACCCCCATAGGCAAAGTGGGGGAGAACAAGGGGTCACAAGACCAGTCAAGCAAAGTAAAGCAAAGCAAGCTCAGGGTGGATCACAAAGTCACCACACAGTCCGAGCACAGGGTCAAGGCCAGTTCACATGCAAGAGTACACGCATATATATAAAACTAGACAAGCAAGAGCAGGTATATATATATGTGAGAGTACAGGCAAGGTCAAGAGGAGAGCAAGTGAGGCAAGACGGGCACAAGACCCAGCTGAGTGCAGAAGCGCTGATGATCACAAGGCGGAAGTGCCTTGGTGAAGACATCAGCAGTGTTGGCCTCAGAGGCCACGTACGCAAGCCGCAACTGACCACGTTGCTGTAGCTCACGAGCAAGGAAGTAGCGGAGAGCAATGTGCTTTGTTCTGTGCTCCAGTCGCTGCTCTCGACACAAGGCCAGCATGGCCTTGTTGTCTACGTACAGGACTGGAGGAGAACGAGGCGGCTCTCCAAGGTCGGTCAGCAGGTAGGTGAGCCAGCGAAGCTCCTGTGCAGCCATGGCCCCGGCGTAGATCTCAGCCTCACAACTCGAGCCAAGAACAGAAGACGAGCGAGTAGCCCGCCACGAAACAGAGCCGGAACCAAGGCTGAAGGTGTAACCCTGTGACGACCGCTGCGTAGCCTGGTCGTCAGCCCAAGAAGCGTCCGCGTGCCCAGTGAGGACCACTGGACTCCGCCCTCCAAGCACTAGCCCCATGCCCGACGTACTGCACAAGTAGCGCAACACCCTCTTCGCTGCAGCCATGTGCTCTGGTCTGTGTCTCCCAGGAGCAACATAGCGTGCGAGAATGCTAAGAGGGTATGCAAGGTCAGGTCGTGTGCAGGTCATCAGGTACATGAGGCAGCCAACAAGCTCTGGGTACGGGCCACTCGACTCTACGGACTCATCCGAAGGCAGAGCTGAGAGTGAGTGGCGAGTAGACAGAGGAGTGGCCTGAGGCGAGGAGTACGTGAAGCCGAAGCGCTGAAGGACCTGCTGCACCATGTGTGACTGAGTCAGGGTAATGGTGCGGCGTGCTCTGTCCCGGGTGATCTGCAAGCCAAGGTAGCTGCGCAGTTCACCCAGGTCTGTGCACGTGTGTCTCTTCTGCAGCTCGGACTTCACGTAGGCGAGTCCAGCAGTGTCAGCTGTGGCAAAGACCAAGTCGTCGACGTACACGAGGATGTAGAACGGCGGCAGAGAGGTGTCGGTGCGTAGAAACAGCGACGGGTCGGCAGTAGAAGGAGCAAACCCAAGAGCCGCAAGTGTAGTCCTCAGTGTGTCGTGCCACTCACGTGGCGCCTGGCGGAGACCGTAGACTGGACGCCGGAGACTCCACTGGGTACCAGAAGGGAAAGACCCAGTGAAGCCAGGTGGGCGACGCAGCCAGATCTCCTCGTGCAGGCTGCCCTGCAAGAAAGCTGTGCTGAAGTCAAGAGAGTGCAGCTCGTAGTCACGGTGAGCAGCAACGTGCAGCAGTACCCGAAGAGTGGTCATCTTCGGGGTGGGGGAGAAGGTCTGAAAGTAGTCAACTCCCTGCCGCTGACTGAAGCCACGAGCCACGTAACGCGCCTTGAAGACAGGCGGAGAACCCGGCGGCCGCTTCACCCTGAAGATCCACATGCCACTGACGATGTTCGCCCCAGGAGGGGGGACAGCGTCAACGTAGGTGCCTGTGGACTTCCAGGAAGCCATCTCTGCATCCATAGCTGCCTGCCACTGAGAGGAGTAGGGACCCTCTATCGCCTCCGCGTAAGAGCGCGGAGTCGGGATGTCAAGTGCATCCGGGTCTCCCTCAGGGGTAAGCAGTACGGACACGAGATGAGGTGAGGCAGCTGCCAGACACTGGAACTCCTCCTGCCTGTCCTCAAGGACGTCCGTGCCAAGGGCACACTCACCCCCGACGGACGGAGGACAGACAGACTCAGACTCAGCGACAAGACTAGCAGCGTAGTCTAAGCGACAGCGAGCAGCAAAGTCGACGAGCTCAGTAACGAGAGCAGACGCAGCAGTAGACTCGAAAGAAGGGTCAGTGACAACAGTAGCAAGGAGACGCGTGACAGTAGGACTGGCAGCACGAAGAGAGTCCGACTCCGGGTCGGCAAGAGCAGGAAGAGAGGACTCAGGAGGAGAAGGCAAAGGGGCACGCAGAGGAGCAGTGGACGGACGCAGAGACATCCGGTGCGTGCCAGGGACAGGAGGAGGACGCTGACGCGAACCGC